TTATAATCTTAAATTTTATAAAGTCTGACAAGAATCTTGCTGACCCTTTGACTAAGGGATTATCCAGGAGTGTGGTTCTGGATTCATCGAGGGAGATGGGGTTAAGCCCATAGATGTAAAACTCCGTAAATTTGAATATTTTATGATAAATAATGATAAATATGTTATATGGTGAAAATAACATATTTTGATGTTTGAGTATGATAAAAATTGATTTGAGATCAAATTAATGTATATTTGTAAAAATATGAGTGCAAATGCACAAAGCATGCACAAAGGCCAAAAGAGTGAAAATCTGGGAATAATGACCAGTTGAGAGATTTTATATTTTACACACTGATACATTTAGAATTTGGAAAAGTGTAAACAACCAAAGTTGTAGGTCTCTTCAATATATTTCCAAAAAATCTTATATCACCTCATTCCGAGGTCGGATAAGAAAGTTACAGCCAAAATATCGAAGGTTGTTTTCCTAGTCAGACTACGTTTCCTGGTTCGGGTCAAACAGGGTTGTTTCGGGTTTGACTTTATAAATACCTGTGTTTTTACAAAAATTCTTTTCTTTTATCATATCTATGAACCCTAGCAGCTACCCTCTCCCCTCAAAAATCCTAAATCTTTTTCTTATGAGTTTGGAGAGCTTTGTGAAGCAAAACACTAGCATGAGGGCGAGATCATCGACGTGTGGAAAGGGAGAACGGGTTGTTCATGCTTGTGGTTTGCTTGCTGATTATTTCAGAGGCTTGCACATAATATTAAGGTAAGATTAATTACATCCAAACCCATCCCCATAGTTAAATAATTAGCTTAGAAGTTTAATTTGTGTTTACATGCTTAGATCTTAATCTAATGTGAAAAGATTAGATTTTTATTGTTAGATCTTAAACAAATGTTAGATCTACATGTTTTTCTTGCTGTTTATAATAGAAATATGATCATGATCATTAGGGTTGATTTTAAATTCGTTTTTATCTTGTTAATCATGTGCTAATCATGTCTAAACCCTAATTTGACTTTTAATTGAGTTTGCATGTGGATTAAAGATGAGAAAACCCTAGGTTTGTGATACCTAAGTGTTAAAAATATGATTTAATGAATGATTATCTTTCCTAAGTTGATTGGCAATCATGTTTATGTTTAATATGTTAAAAGTCAATGCTTTAGATTGAAAAATTTTGGTTAAACTAAAGAAAGAGGTTTGATTCGTTGTTTTGAGCCTTCATGCATGTTTTAGGGTTTAGAATACAAATCTAATGCATAAAATTATGTTTATAATTGTTGAGTTGTTTCCAGATATTCATTACGGCTGTGACATGGTTGCATACAAATTTTATGAAGTTTTAGACATGTTTATATCGAGGAAACACGACGTGAACACGACATACACAAAGAGCATGAGAATCTGGAAATTTGGTTCACGGTCGACCGTCACGGTCGACCGCGTGCAGGACAGAGACCTGGGTAGTCTCTGGAGCCCGTCGCGGTCGACCGCCAGTTGGTTTTGGCTGTGCATGTTTATTTGAGTGTTTTTGGTTGTTGAACGAATTTCTCGACCTTATGATGATAGACTATGACATTAGTGATTTGTTAAACACCTGGAATGATGGTGAACTTCAGATATGGACATGCACACCGAGATTGGTGCATGTATGCTAGATTGTGTTAGATTGACACACTTTCGACACGAGTTAAATTGATAAACACATATGAATAATGATGTTCTATACGTATCCGGAAATAGGGAGATGAAACCTATTTGCCGCAGAACGATTGAGTAAGAGTATTACAATAGTATCGTTATTACATGTATCCGGAATAGGGAGATAATAAAAACCTATTTTCGTAGGGCGATTGAGTAGGAAATTACAAAAGTATCGTCATTCCATGTATCTGGGATAGGGAGATAAAACATATTGCCGTAGAGTGATTGAGTAAAAATATTATAAGAGTATCGCTATTGCATAAAGAGATGCACACATATATGTGTTATCAGTTATAGTTACTCTCATGTTAGATTATCCATGAGTAGGGTACATTCTTTGGTTTGTGGCATACATGATATGACCTATGATGATTTTTGAGTTGAACGATATTCTCTTATAATTACGCCAACTACTTGAGAAGTAGTTCGAGATTGTAACATTGGTTCTATATAATTGAGGCTTGGAGTATTTCTTTTGAGTGCTATTTTCATTCATAGAGTTGGAATTGGTATTTAAGGATCTACAATTTAAGACATATAGTATATATATGAGGGTTTCCTTGTTTGGATTATTTCGCTCGACGTACTACGTCTCGTCTTTTACATGTCTAAATATTAACTTTATTAGATACGGAGAAAATGATATAGGTAGACTATGCTTAATAGATAGAGCCTCCACTTCATTTAGCAGCACTTCCCCTGGGGGCGGATGGAGGTGATCTTGTTGTAGTGCTCTGACGTTTTTGTTGTTGTTCTTTTTGTTTAAATTATATCTTTCAGGCAGATCAGAGTTTCGGAGAGCCGCAGGATGACGGAGTTCTAGCATAGTCACTGTCGCACGGTTTTAGCAGTTGAAGCTCTACTATATAGTTATGTCCATTGTCAAACCTTAGAGTTGTATTTATTTTGTAGAGGCTGAGTGCCTTAATGAGATTTCATTTGACTCATTGTGTTAAGATGTATTTCAGACTCAGAGATATTTTCATTCTATTTCAGTTGGGCTCATTTGTTGATATACTTCTTTTGTGCATATCTGATTATGTACTACTTCTATTATTTGCCTGTTTTATACCTTCACCTATTTGTTGTTTTCACTAGAGAGATAGTGACTGTGATGGTGAAACATGTCGTAGCATGGTGTTTGGTGCTTGGCAGGTTTGATAATCCTGGTTTCACCTTGGACTGTAACCTTGTGTGAACCCTGGGCCGTCACAATAGATGAGGTCACTGACAACGGCAACCCAACCCTTATTTAGAGATGTAGTCCCAATGTTGGTTCAATGTGGTAGAAACAAGCTGGATAAGTGACACTCGTGTGGAGCATCGATCTAGATATATTTATATATCATTATGTAGCATCTGCTACTACCCCTTCTCTATGATGGCGATGCTCTTATGATATAGCTGGTTAGGCTAACTTTTACTCTTAATAAGTCCAACGCGTTTATTGCAGAGGCTATGATATCTAGCTGTAGTACCCTTGGAGGACTTACCTACATGAGAGGAACCGTGATGTCCGCGATTAGGGGGAGGCTGGGTTAACCCCTAGAAACTCTCATGAGTTGGTTATTTGAGCTTGACCTTTAACGCTCAACCCGCTTTGCTCAATAGATGAAGACGTATTATATGTGTTTTCGTCAATACCTGGTTCAAGGGACCTAATTCAAGGCCTAGTCCATTATGTCCCTCAGGTGGCGATGAACTCACTAAGGAAATGTTCAAAGCCGAAAGCTAGCTCTCTCGAATTCACAATACGAAAGGTTGCCCAACCTATATCCTTTTTATGATTTTATTGATTTTGTGTTTTCAGTCAATATTTCCTTTTGGGGGAGGGGTAGGGGGGACTGTTGGATATTTGTTCATGAAAAGGCAATTTTTCTTTTGTGAATAGTCCCACATTGGAAAATGGAAAGAAATCCAAGAGGTTTATATTGGTCCCCATTGTATTAGGCTTTGAGTTAGTGTTTTGGGCCTTATATTGTTTGGGCTATTGCTATCACACGCGCGCGCGTACGCCATGCCTCGCCACGCCGTACATGCACACAATTTTGCTTCACAGAGTTTTTATTTTTTATCGTTTTCTTCCGCTTGACCCGTTAGTAACGGATGCGGAGTTGGCGTGGGGAGTTACGTGGATAGTGCGTAACGGATGCAGAAGAGGAGCAACGGATATTCGCCTCCAGCCTCTATATATACCAGAGCTCTCCTCCTCGGAAATGACAAAGTACAAGCAAAGTTCTCCATCTTCTTCCTCATCAAATTTTCTCTCTCAACATTTTGTTACTATGTTAATTACCTTTCTGGGCAATCATCTTCGTCTGAGCAGAAGCTCTGCGACTCACGTCCGAGTACAGAGGCCGGCCGCTTTCTGGGGGCTTTTACCGCTAAGAGGAGAGGATCAACTGCGTCAGGACGATAGGCAAGTCCTCTATCTAGGGCAGCGAAATCACAAGTGCACCCGTTCAGATCTGGTGTACCAACTTTTAATTTTCAGATTTATACTATTTGTTTTTTTTTTTGACAACATGCGCAACTTAAGGTAATAAACAATTTAGAAAATATGTACAACTTGTAAGGGATCACTTAAGTTGATTTTTGCTAATAAAATATTTCAAAGTACGAATTATTTTCTTAGATGATCTTATTCGATATATTAAGATCTTAAAGCTAATTTTACATCGTAATATTACGTTATTTCATCTAAAAATAATTTATAATTTTTAATGTAAGTGAATTGCCATGTTAGTTAATTATTACATCAACTGTGATCTCAACTTTTTATATTTCTACTTTCTATTATCTAAATATAATTTACAAATAGAAAGGGAATGGAAAAGTACTTTCTTTTCCATTTTTACTTTACCAAATATGCTCTAAGTTGTTAGGTGCTAACAGTACCTGAGATGTCAATCATACTGAGAAAAGGAGTATCCAGTGTCAACTCCAAGCTTAGTGACTAGATTTGGCTAGGCTTGCAGTATTATATCCAAACACGTTGTTAATCGAAGGGGAAAAGGTCTAGTTAAAATTTTAACAACTTAATTGCATATGATTATATAATTTTTAGAATTCTGATTTAAATCAAGTTCCGAAAAGATTCAAATGTATTATCCCACAAAACCACACCTGGATAATAGATGAGATATTGCCTATTGGGGTTTAAAAAACATGACGTGTCACGGGTACCTCCGTAACTAAATCTCACCCGCGGAGCACCACACACGATCTCCTCCTCCCTATTTATGCCCCGCCCTCTCAAAACACAGTGGATGAAAAAAAAATAAAAAAAAAAATGGAATCGAAGGACGATCTCCAATCTCATCTCCTCCGAAACACCGCCGCCGAAGAATCTCCGCCCAATCGAATCAACCATCGACGAGATGCTCCGCCTCCACGCCGGCGAGTTCGGCCGTTGGCAGCTGAAGCACTTCGTCCTCACGAGCACCGCCTGGGCCCTCGAAGCATTTCACACGATGGTGATGATTTTCGCCGACCGCGAAACCCTAGCTGGCGGTGCTCGGATCCGACAGGGTTTGCCCGCCGACCCTTGTGGGCTTGGGCCGGGTGCGTGGGAGTGGTGGATGGGAGGGGCGGGTCGACGGTGGCGGAGTGGGGGTTGGTTTGCGGTCAGAAGTACAAAGTTGGGTTGGTTCAGTCTGGCTTCTTCCTCGGCTGCATGATCGGTGAGTTTTGCAATTTTTCACTTTGCTTCCACTTCTTTCTTTCTTTTTTCCCTTCTCGCTTTGCGCCTTGTGTTTCAAACGTTATTGTGTTCAAATGCTTTCGCCTAGCTAATAAGATTATAAAAGGGTAACTTGCAGATAACCCCCTAATCTATAGGTTCAACTAGCACTTTAACATCATCCTTGGGTTCGTAAAGGGAGGGGAGGAGTATACGCAAATTTATCCAGCTTAGAACGTGGAATAGGGCTGCTAATTGCTGTAGAATGACGAGAGAGGAATCCGCCCATGTACTCCTAGCGCTGACTGTGGTTTCGGAGTATCTAGTACACTCCACATTTGACTGCGAGTGGAGTCGATTTCGCTTCCTCCAATTAGTTTTCATTTGGAGCTGGTTAAACCCTGCCGATGCGCGTCTGACTGATGACATGCGGTTGTTGTCAACTACTCATCCCTGTTTTAATATTAGGATTAATCGCTTATTTCCAGCCAATTGCTCTTTTGTTTTTAGTAGTAGGATTCGCTTATTTCCGGCCAACGTCTGTCTCCGTACATCGATCCTGTGCAAAATGAGTTGAATATTAGATTATTGAGTTTAATTAGTTTCAACTGAATTTAGTCCTGTCAAATCGGAGTTAATTAAAACGTTCATAAATTTATTCGCTGAACCGATCCAGTCGAGTAGAGTATGTCCGGAATGATTAGATTCGGTTCGGTTCCATTGGATAAAAAAAATGGTCGAAGGCAACCGGATCGCCATTTGGTCTCCTCCAGGTTTGGGAATAGGACAGGAAGCGGCAGAATTCAACGAGAGTTTATATAATATTAAAAAAATAGGGTCGTATGTGCAAAAAGACAAAGTACAGGACTAGTACACGGTGCGAGTTGTTGCAATGAATTAAATATTAGTTGTCACCGGTAGGATATTCTTTCTTAGACGTTATTTGGGAGTGATTTTGAATATTTTTTTTTAAATGCAGTTTGTATTTTCTATTTTAGATGTTTGGCGTTTATATAGGAACAATTTGAAAGGAAAAAAAATTTAATTGAGTTTCTAAACTTGTGAATATACGCACCGCTCTGGTTCATGATTTCATTAGTACACATGCGTTGTGGTCCCTGTTTACTGTTCTTTTGACGGTGTCCCAAAGGCATGTTTCAGTGACACCTATTTAATCTCCATCTGTTGACATGTGTTAGTGACACGCTATAATCATGAAATAGTATTGCTTTTTTTTTTAATAATAAAGATTCTAATGTAGAACATGCTTACTTTTTCCGGCATCTTACCAAAATGAGGTGTTACTGTCTTGAGGGGGAAACATACTGTAGAACTTTAGAAGTCTCTATATATAATGTGATAATGTACAAAGAAACGAGAAGATGACATCTGAAATATTAATTAATATAGCATGATAGACAAAGTGATTGTACCGATAAACATTATTCGTATGCATAAAAAAATGATACATCAATGATTCCGGTCTTCCTCCCCTTGCGATAGTCTATAGAGCCTCGATATTCACCAATATCTCCTCACCAGCCAACCCAACCTCCTCTCCCGCCGCCTCAACGACCCTGGCCTCTTCTCTGCACTCCACTTTATTATTATATTGTGAATTCAAAGATTTGGGCTTTATTTCTATTGATTTGTTGTAGATTTTATGGTTGTTTGTTAATTTCAGTAGGTTTTTTCTTTCTAAATTTCAGTTAATCCTAATTTTTGTAGATTTTGCGTTCGATTAGCCCTTATTTTGGGAGCAAATCCTATCTACTACCATACATATTGAGATTGGTGTGTGCATGACAAATGAATTGTAGTTTTGGTCTTTGGCGTGTGAAAGGTCTTTGATGATGTAGATATTGGGCTTCAAGTGGTTTGTTTAAGACACCCTTGCCCTGGGCCCTTTTTTCATTACTATTCAATTTTAAGGTTAACAGAATATTCTTTTGCATTTTTAACACTAACTAATCGTAAGGACCAATATCAAGAACTCCTGCAATTTGAGGGATTCATACAGAATATGAGGATTCGAGGGGCTAAAATCACAATAGTTATAGTTTAGGGGACTAAGGAAAAAGCCTATTAAAAGGCATGGTTGGGTGGAACCTGCTATTTAACTGACTTCCGTCACACGTGTCCGATTGTATTACACGTGTTCGGGAAAGGAGATCGCACCGCCTCATGTGGGGTGCACTTACCATGGAGCTGGGTCATGGTGTTCTCTTCGACGGCTTCATTAGTAGCTATATTTAAACATTTCCTTGAACTGCTAATATTTACTCTGATACAATTAACGATATTCTGTTTCCAGAATCAAAATATTCCAATATTCCTTCATAATAACGGGAGAATGCAGTTTTTGTTTAAATGATTGTGCGAGTAATAATTCTTTCAGAGCACCTAGGGATGGAAAATAACATCAATATATATGAATATATTCGTATCAGTAGATTCGGATATTTGATAAGATAGTGATCTGAATATATGTTGTGGGACTTGCTTTAATCATTAGATTAATAAATTTGAGGTTAATTTTGATAATCAAGAGACCTAATTTTAGTTTTTTAAATATAACGAACATATTAATCTACTCTCTTGTATCAGATGAGCCGTATTTTTTTCAATATTATATGGGTTTATCATATTTGTTTGTATTCGTATGTACATTCCTATTTATATTCATAATTGATAAGCGGATACATATATATTGATAAGTATCATATTCAAACGGTATCCATACCATTTGCACCACTAAGAACACCTCACGGCAAATGTGATCTGAACTCTACAATTGGATTGTAAAGGGGCAATTTGAACAATTACTCATCCATCTATGGGGTTCAAGCCCTGCAAAACATTCTAATAAGATTAACACTCAAAAGTGATCACAAACTTACTAATAAGATCAACCCTTATTTTCAATCATATTAGGCTAACAGTATTATAGATTTCAAACTTACGTCTCATAGCCAGATAATAATCAGTCACTTATACAGTTGGACCAGTCTTTTTCTTCAATTTTGCGGCTATATTTATATTAGCTGTATGTCTTTGATTTAGGTTCAACTGGTGAAGTTAGAATAGGAGACTAGGAGTAAATACAGTTGATTGACTTGACCAGTGGTTTCCCAATTTCATCCAATTTAAGAGAAGATAAGAAAATAATGTGATGAGAGCCTCAGTTAACTTCACATCACTGACGAATTAAGTGGTGTTTAGCCTCTATGTAATCACCGACGTGTCAAGTGAAATACGTAGCCCAAAAACGTTAAAAACGAATATGGAATTCTAAAGAAAGAAACCATAATTTTATTGATAATTCTCCCAAGTTTTTCCTCACAAAAAAGCACTAATACAGAGCTGGCTTTAGCCTCTGTTTTCAGCTTTTTTTTTTCACAAAACTCCTTACATAGATAATAGTCATATGAGCAAATATATAAATCCTAACAAATTTTATTTGTAATCCAATTTCTACTCCTAAAATCCTAATTATAATCAAACTCCTTCCGCATGAAACTTATTGTACTCGTGTACACTGGTTCGGGAATTTTATCACAAGGTAAATCTCCTACGGACTGCTTGGTTCGGGAATTATATCACAAGGTAAATCTATAGAGGAGACAAATTAGACTAGAAGCTAATTAGAAGCCATGAAATATTACACGAGGAGACAAAACATGTGAGCATAGTCGGAGAACGTGACCCCACTTTTCTATATTTTGTTTTTATGTACGTCGTGTCCATCTGTAAATCACTAGAGTCCCCAGTTCTCACATAGGCGCATACCTTTTATTTATTACGACAAATGGGAAGGGGACAAAAAAGGTTCTGGATGGATGGATAAAGATTGGGATTGTTCTGTATTGCTTTTGCATCCTGTAAGTTGTCGGATTCGTGTGTCCTGACATAAGAAGTCCAATGCGTCAGTTCTTTACCTTAGGGAGGGGAAAAAAAATAATAATGATGATGACAAATATCAAAGGTCGATCTCAAACATATGGCACCTTTGACTGGATCAAGCCGATAATATGTCTTTTGGATCTGTAGCATATATAGTTTAGGGTTTTAGTTGTTGTGCGCAGCAGAAATTTCGGCAGAGTTTCTTGTGCACAATAAGAGAGAAAGATCAATAAGAATTCCTGTCTCACCAAGGAAACAAGAATCTGAAGCGGATATCTCAACCAAGTGAGATATCGGCTCTTCCTCTCATCAGTTCTAGGACTGACCTGTCGAGTGATCCTAAAACTATTACAATGGCCACAAACTCAAACAACTAATTTTACGTGGTTCGGCAAACTGCCTACGTCCACGGGGCAAGGAGGGGGGATCTACTATTAGTGAGGAGATAATACAACTAGGGTTTACAATCACTCAATCTAAACCCTCACACAATTATCTCTCTCAAAAGTACAAAAGGATTCTTTACACGCCGCCCAAAAGGAACGCTGCCAACACTTTTGCACCTCTGCTTCACTTCGCGCACAAAATCTAAATAACAGCCGCCCTTTTTCGTCTGTGTTTCTCTCTCTTCGTGCGCACCTACTCTCTGCAGCCGCACCTCTCACCTTTTGCTCCTGATTTTTCCCCTCGGTTTGCTCAAAACAAAAAAAAACCTAGCTTCGGTTTTTATAGGAGAGCACCACAAAACAACGGAACGTGGGCCTCCTCTTCATGGGCCTGTTCAGGTCCGCCACCTCATGCGATTTCCCCACTATCTTATCTCCTCACGTGGACTTATGCTGCTGAACAGCGGAAACACAAAACGTGTTCACTTCTTCACACACGTGGGTGGCCCCCACTAATTCCCACGAGAGTTTACAATTCTCCACCTCGGTGAAGTTTTCACAAAACTGAGCCGACACTAACTAAACCAAATGTCTCACTTGTTGTGTCCAGTACACCGTGAAACAATTCACGACAACAGACTCAATCCATAACAAGTCGAGAACCCAAATGAGAGTGCAAACACTCTCCAAATGTTGGTATCAACGCACCAAATCGATCTCACCCCATCAAAATCCAACCCGGCTGCATCATAAAGACTGCCTACGTATCCTCTTGCCCAAGGAATCAAGCCGAACGTAGTTCACCCAAATGGCCTCCAAAGGCCTCAATTCACTAGAAGAGTTCGCAACCCTTCTCCAATATCATCAACTCTGCGGCTGATAGCACCTCCAATGGCCTTAAACACCTCCACCTGAGGTGAACAAATGACCATATCCAAGCTACATCTATCAGCTGCACTCGAATCAAAACCCAACTCATCATCTGCATCTGAATCCAAATGACTTCCACGCTGTGTCACCTCAGCTGGAATCCCAACCAATGCAGAATAATCTGGAGTAATCTTTACCCAATGTGGAGTAGCATCACTCTCCACCCGCTGCGATACCTCTAAGGTCTGTCCAAAACTCTCCACCTGCTGAGAGTCAATTAGCTCCCTCATCGAAGCCTCAACCGAAGTGACACTACCAGACCTATCTTCCAATGGAGTTTTACCTCTAATCACAGCAGTTGACAACTCTTCAATAGGATGACTCAAATATGTCGAAGCCTCTGTCCAGAAACTCTTCTGCAGACCATTGCTCGACCACAAACACTGATCCTCCTCCAGCAAGGCACGGTTCTCCAAATTTGTCACCTTATCTAGTTGCCCCAAGATTTCCTTTCCAACGAAGTGTCTCGCAATGCCGTGAGCTCGGCTCCAATACAGAAATAGGTCCATCTTGTACCTCCCACCAGAATGGAGTACCTTCACCTTTCTGTCTATTACACACTTCTTCAAACTGTTAGAGACTACTAGGACTTTATCCATCGGGGATTTGGTTGCAACCCAAACACGCCTAGAACAGCCACCAACAAAGGAAACCAAACGCCTATTACCTCCCAATGATGCCCCCTTGGAAGGCCCCCAAACATCCACGTGAACTCCTCCAGAACGACCCTTAGCACGGTGAATAGAGGTGCCACACTTCACCTCGGTCTTCTTGCTCACATCAACATGTTCACTGGACTTCAAACTGCAGGTCTTCGCACCCTCTTCCAATCTATGCGAGGAATCAATACTGGAATGGCCAAGCCCCAAATGCCGCAGTCTAGTCGAATCAACAGAAGTCGCCAGCTCTCCACCTGTCCGTCAAACATCTTTATGCGAATTCTTCCTATCCCAAGGATCTGGCATGCACGGTTATCAGCCATGTACACCACACCACTATCCACCAGCTTCTCAAAACTGGAGAACCATTCCCTTCTAGGGCACACATGATAGGTCGCACCACTATCCAACATCCATTCAGATTCCTCCGAATAGCTATCTGTAGGACTGATAGAAAGCGAATAAATAGAAGAGTCAGAATTATTACCATCCGATACGATGTTTGCTTCTGATGATGGTTGCTTCCCTTTTCCCTTCTGCTTATTCTTCATCCATTCGTCGAGCTTTGGGCAGTCTTTCTTCCAATGACCAGTCTCCTTGCACCAAGCACACTGATCTTTTCCAATTCTAGACTGTGACTTCCAATTCTTTCGGTTCAGATTCTTCCCTCTTGCGACCAAAGCCTCTGCTACCGGCTCAGTCGAATTCTCCTTATCCTTCTTCCGAAGCTGATAATTCACAAGTGCAGCAGTGACCTCACTATACGAAAGTGATGCCTTCCCATTAATCAGAGTAAGGACGAATGTCTCATATTCCTCGTCGGGCAAGGAACTCAACAACAGCAACGCCTTGTCCTCATCTTCAATCTTGACATCCACATTCGCCAAATCCGCAAGAAGTTTTGTGTAGTGGTTCATG